CTGCGCAGTAATTGTCTAGTAATATAGTACAATTTACAAACTTCTGGAGACATTTAGATTGAGCTGTCAACACAATATTATTTTGTAGTTCAAGCGATATAATCACTCACTTTTGTCCAACTACGGCGATAAAAATATGGAGTCCGTTTTCCTTTTCTTCGATGGATCTTTATAATTGCTGCTAATCTTAATATTACCTACATATAGTCTGAATAACTCATTATGTCAATATAAAATTTATCATAAATTTCCTAAAACATATTAATCAGAAAAAAATTGTGATGTTGAGCAATGATGACCAATAATTTAATTAAAATTGAGATGTTCTTCTTCAATTAAAAAGTAAGCACCGATTACTAAAGCCCATCTTACTAAGCGGTGATTCACGATTTTAGGTAAATTACATTTAGAACCTAACAGATGCTACATGTGATCTGTAACCAACGTGAATTTTATTCCTGGCAGATATAGCTCTAACTTTTGGATGCCAAAGAAAATAGCCAAGCTCCCGATCGACGACTAAATATTTAGTCTCCAAATATTTAGTACCGCGCCTACACCTTTCTCAAACGCATGGCACGCCAAGAGCAGAGCGTGAGCGTTGTTCATCGAAATCAAAAAGTGGTTTCGTTTTGATAACCAGATGTTTCGTTTCCTTGAAAAATATAATCTCTTTTTCGGTCCACTGCTACTTGTTGTGCTGTGAGTGTATGTAAATCAGCGCAGAGGCTGTGAAGGTGTGGTATAAAACTTTCGTAAAACTTAGTTAATCTCAAGAAAAAGCGTAGCTCCTTAACGTCATTTGGAGTCGGCGCGTTTATAATTGCGTCAACTTTTGTTCTTGATGGTTGTACGCTATTTTTGTCAATAATGCGCCCAAGATATTCTACTTCTGGTTGTAGAAAGACACATTTTTAGGTTAACCTTCAGGCCGCATTCCTGAAGTCTTTTATACACCAATGTTAATATTTGCAGATGTTCTGTCCTTTCTTTACCAGTCACAGCAATATCTTCAAAATATATGTCACCAAATAGACCTTCCAGAAAACCTTGAAAAATTGATGGCACTCTGGTAATTCCGAAAGGCATCCTGTTATAAACGAAATATACCTTGTGTGTTATTATGGCAAAAAATTGGATTCCGGACTAATTTCAAATTGTAGGTAAGCGTCTTTGAGGTCAATTTCCGTAAATTTATCACCATATGCTAGATTTTGACGTAGTTGGTCAAAAATAGGTACTGGGTATGCATGGGCAATAAGGACTGGATTAACGGTAACTCTGTAGTCATTACATATTATACATAGTTGTCCGTTATTTTTGAGCGTGTTGACAGTAATTGACGCCAACTCTTGTGTTTTGTTTGGATCTATTGGTGATATTATTTCTTCTATAACCAAACATTCCAGTTATGATTCTATGTTTTTTCTCAAACTAATGAATTAATTGGATACGGTGTTAAGTGTTTGGGTTCTCCACCGGGCTTGGTATGTATACTCACGTAGTAATTTTCAACTTTTCCTGAATTGCCGTCAAAATGGCGGGTTTGTGTGTTTAACAATTGATCAAAAGTGATATTCTTATTAGATTTAATTGAGCAGTTGAAGTGTATCGACCAAATTACGTAGTAGAAGTATAGACATATAGTAAGGTAGAATCATGCTGCAGCTTTATTATATATAGTTGTAGCACAAATCAGTCGGCTCGACCGGGGAAGGACCACGCTCTCACAGAATACCAGCGTAAAATAACAACTTAATGATGGTGTGTTTCGTATGGTGAGTGTGGAGAACCGGAGACCCTTTTTAATAGAAACGAGGCATTCCATATTGGTCCTCGCGAGTGACAACGCATCTGCATTTTAATTCGTAATCGAGGATATATGCAGATGTCTATGGGCCAGTAACCACTTACCATCAGGTGGACTATGTTTTCGTTTGTTTATAAAAAAATTGACGATAGATTGAAGATGAGCCAAATTAAGAGTACCTACTCTTAACCGACGAGCATGTATGTGTCGGTGTATGGACGTGAAGGAGGCAAGAAATGTATGTAAGTTCGTGCCAAATGAAAGTTCATAGTCTCTGCTTACCCCTCTGGGTGACAGGCATGAGTGTTGCGGCTGTATGTAATATAATATGATGCATATATAAAAAATATTAATTTAAATACTCATTACTCAATTAGGTATTTATTGCTTATTGCATTAATATATAACTTGCAATAAATACCTATCTAATTGAAAAGTATTATCATGTACATATTTGCTTTAAAAAAATCTATTGAAAACGTGCGTTTCTTTATCCTATTACGGTGGATAATTATTATTATTTACCACCATTTTTGTTATCTACAAACCTTCTTTATATATTTAATACCTAGTCAGAACGCTGGCCACAAAAAAGTTTATTAAATTCGAATTTCGAATTGTTCATGAAAATAAAACTGTATACTTTTTAGAATTTTACTCATTTTTAAATATGGAGTAGACGCTTAAAGATGACCGTGTTGCAGTTATTGCGTTGCATAGTTGCGGTTACGCGCCAATTCAAATTTTTGACATACTGAAAAATTTGAATATAACCAAAAGATTCGTTTATCGTACCATCAAACGATACAATGAAGATTCTAGTGTAGATGACAGGTCAAGAAGTGGTCGCCCTCGGTCTGTTAGGACTCCAGCAGTGATAAAAGCTGTGAAGGCGCGAATTCAAAGAAATCCCAAACGTAAGCAGAAACTGTTGGCCCTTCAGATGGGGTTAAGCAGAACCACTGTGAAAAGGGTGTTAAATGAAGACTTAGGGCTTCGGGCATATCGAAGAAAAACAGGACGTCGTTTGAAGGCTCGTCTAATGGACCTGAGACTGAAGAGATGCCGCGCTATGTTGAAGCGGTACGCGGGAAAAAAATATCGGGAAATTCTTTTTTCGGATGAAAAAATTTTTACCGTAGAAGAGAGCTACAACAAACAAAATGATAAGGTTTACGAATACAGTAGTGAAGAAGCGAGCAACCGTATTCCGCGTGTCCAACGAGGTCATTTTCCATCCTCGCTCATGGTATGGTTGGGAGTTTGTTATTGGGGCTTAGCAGAGGTACATTTTTGTGAGAAAGGTGGAAAAACGAATGCAGTTGTGTATCAAAATACAGTCCTGACGAACCTTGTGGAACCTGTTTCTCATACCGTGTTCAATAACAGGCACTGGGTATTCCAACAAGATTCGGCGCCAGCTCATAGAGCGAAGAGCACACAAGACTGGCTGGCGGCGCGTGAAATCGACTTCATCCGGCACGAAGACTGGCCCTCCTCCAGTCCAGATTTGAATCCGTTAGATTACAAGATATGGCAACATTTGGAGGAAAAGGTGTGCTCAAAGCCTCATCCCAATTTGGAGTCACTCAAGACATCCTTGATTAAGGCAGCCGCCGATATTGACATGGACCCCGTTCGTGCTGCGATAGACGACTGGCCGCGCAGATTGAAGGCCTGTATTCAAAATCACGGAGGTCATTTTGAATAAACTTTAGTGTCATAAGAATCTATGTTTTGTTAAGTTCATTTTATTATATAAATGGTTACATAATGAATAAACTTGTTTCAATTATTTTATATTAAACATGTGACAGAATTTATGAACTGACTAGGTACATTCATGATTCATAATTATAATACGCTAATGTGCCTAACAGGGGATATAGCGATAGCTACTACGAAGTCCATCTCCTTCAAACCTGTGAACCACTGTCGCAGAGCCAACAATAGTTCGCACGTTTAGTGGAGATTGACTTTATGAGAAACCATATGAATGTGGAACCATTTCATATTTCACAGTATTTTATCGCCGTGACGATGCGCGCTATTCGCATCTTTGCAAAAGAAATACTCATCTCTAATTTGCTGTCAAATTCGATACTTTAAATTTTAGATTTTAATTGACACTTCGTTTGTTTTCCGCAGGACTTCTATAACCATAACTATGCAATGATCTGTGTATTACCTTTTTATATAGTTACCTTTGATCTGTGTATTATTGAAAAACACACTAGTTTAAAATTGAGGCTAACTATAAAACTATTTTTTACAATAAAATCGCCTTGGCTGTACAATACAATACTCTTTATGGTACACCAAGAAAAGATAAAAATGTCAAAAATAAAAAATAAACAACTATTTAGGATAGGGAGTAGTAAAGATTGTGCAAGCGTAATTTTGGTGGCAATGGGTAAAAAGTAATTAAGCCTCCGAGTGAATCATAAGCTGCAAACATTTTACGGCTCACTGCATTAATTTGGGGAGCCCAAGAAAGGCTGTATATAGTTTTAGCTCCCGTAAATCCGTAATTTTAAGTTTATTATCTATGGTCATAAATTTATAAACCGAGTGAACGGAGTTTTGGTAGGAACTTGGCTAACGGCGGATTGCCGCTCCTGTAATATTGTTTAAAGTCGCTCTCCAGCCACAGAAAAGAAAACAGCAGCAAGAAAAGAAAAAGTTCCTCCTCACCGCCGCTTGCCTCCAGTTTAAGCAAGACCAACGCGTTTCATTCATTTTTCGAACGGCGTTACGGCGATCCGTAACATTAACTAATGTTTTGCAGTAGATTTTGATATATAAATGTGGTGTGATTTTGTGTATTAAATGTCTACGCATGTGAGCTATGATAATGATGGTGATGTGAATCTCAAGATAATATGGTGTTTGTCTGCTCAGGCGCCTTGATATACTATCGCCAGCTATCTGCTGGCTCAAGTTGCCCTCAAAATATCCCACAACTTATGCAATGTGACGCGTCAACATATTATGAAGCAGCGTACTTAGGATTATTATCAAATAAATATAAACGTGGCTTAAAAGACAAGCATCCAAGCAAAACAATCTTAATTAAAAAACTGTTCGTTTTGTTTGTTTAGCTGTAAAGCCTAACCTTTCTTGTTTATTATTTTTTTACCAGCTGTTTCATTTTTGCAGCACGCATGGTCAATGTTCAATAATATATAAAATGAATAAAAATCGAAGAAATTCCGAGCTTTATGATGACTACTGCTGCACGGGAAGTGTCAGTGGCAATTTCCGCCGCTCGTCCTCACTGCGACTGCGCGGTGAAAAAATGGTGCAGCGCTCACCTTTATCCACAAGGAAATTAATACCAATAATCACGGAAAATTCTCATCAAAAGACACGAAGCGATGGCACTCGTTTACCAGAGCCAAGCCATCGCCCTCGCAGCCACGTATGTATTTACATACCAAATATCACGTTTTGCTGTAAACACTTATAAATGCATTTTAGGTGGGTAATTGCATAAGACCTAAAATGCATTTATAAGTGTTTCGAGTATTATTTTTGTTATTTAAGTTTACCTTATACTTAAATTATAAATTAATTCTTTGCTTAATAAAAGTAAATTTAAGTTATATTTATTGTTTTTTATCTTTCAGTCATTTAATTCAAACACTCAGGGCAAGCCAAGAAAATCTTGCCTTAGGCCTCAACAGCCTTGTATGGATAGGAATCTGAGTATGACTGATTCAACTCATACACCACCAGGATCTCCTGAAGATTTACCTGATGATGAATCATTGCATAGTTATGGTAGTGCGGCAACTGCTGCTTCAATTGATGCTGGTTATGCTCCATTTAATGGCACCACCTTCAGTGGAAGGTCAATGCGATACGTCCTACATTGTTCTTCTCATGCTGGTTTAGCAGGAGATGAATATCTTACCCCAACACAACGAGCCCAGAAACAAATCCGCCGGTTAAAAACATTGCTTTGTCAAGCTAAGAAAGACTTGGAGAAAAAGGACAGTGAAATATTTCATCTTACAAAAGAAGTAGTTGAGTTACGTTTATACAAAGCTTCAATATGCTCACCCGATGAGAAATCAAATTCAAGTGAAATTGTTACAATAAGAGAAATAAGCAGGGAAGGTTCAATGCAAGAAGAAAATGTGAAGTGTAAGGAAATGTTTGATGTAACTGATAGTCCTTTGTTTAAAGATCAGATATCTACAAGATGTCGCAACGAAATGCAAGGTTCATTCACTGACTCTGGACATTTTGATGATCTTACAAATTCTTCATTGCATTCTAAGGAGTCTGTTCACATGCTTACACATGATGCATCATGCATGACTGAAATGGATGACAGTGATGAAGAACGACGCAATTTAATTGCTTATTATGAGAAAAAATTTGAAGATTATACAAGAGCACATGTAGGAGACACACAGGAGATTAAAAAAACTCATAATGAAAAAGTTGAAGCTTTACTTCAAAAATTGGCAGATGTGAACACTCGCTATTCAGAATTGTTGCCTAATTATGAACAAGCTAAAGAGCGAATTCACATTTTAGAGAAGCAATTAGAAGAAGCCAGCAAGCAATTGCAACATGATGAGAGTAGGCACAGTGCTATGTATCTGCAAATGTACAACAAAGGGATGGAAGCTGCTAAATTTGAGGTAGACAAAGTAAGATATTTTTTTTTATGTATATATCTCTTGTTAAACATAGACAAACTAAAGTAATGTTAAATTTGCATAGGAGACCGAAACAGACACAGTACAGGGGCAGTTAAGCAGAGTATCAGTAGAGGAATTATTAGCGCAGCTGCAGATTACCCAAACTGAGCTTGAAAATGTCAAAGTGAGTAACAGAGTACATACTGATAATATTTATGTTATAATTTATTAACACTTCATAATAGAAACATTTTACCTTTGAACCTGTAATATGAACTAAATATATTATTAATTAGCTAAATGTCATATTAACAATCATGCAATTTTTGTTACATCATAGAAATTTACATTCATAACTTTTTATTGTTCTCCTGTCTATTAGAAATGCCTAACATCACCCTTCTTGATGCTAATATAAAAAATATGCAGTTGAAAATCAATAACAATAATTAAGATTGTATTAACATGCTCTATTTCACAACCACAATAGTAAATAGGTTACGCATGTAGTGGCAATTAACAAGAATAGCTTTAACGTGTAGTGCATTACAGGACTCTTCATTCACAAGGGACCGATCGGCAAAGTCACAAGCACTTCTGAGTGCAAAGGAGGCTGTTTCTTTATGGGTCCTAGGAGCTCGAAAGGTTGGATTTTTGAATAGGCAGACAAAATTTTTTTACGCATTTTTTTGTTTTATTATAACACTGCTTTTATAGCACTGGTCAGAAACTTTTTTTGTATCATAAGTAGAAATTATTTTATGTAAATTAGGTGGAAGACGGTGTTGTGGGGCCTACTGCATAGCAATTGAAAGTCATGAAAACCTAATTTTTATTTCAATTCTAGATACAATGTCTGCAGTATCAAGGTAAAACTGTGTAAAACTAAAATTAATGATGTGCATCTAGTTTGGAATATTATAAAATTGTAATACCATATTCTTATTTTCCATTTATTACTTTATCATAATTAATAACAGGGACTCGAAAACGAAATGAATTTCATTTTGACACTAAATGTTATCTCATAATGTTCCAAAGTTTGTAAAGATACTAAAACCTAAAGTTATCAATAACGTTATAAAAAAATAACGTTAAAGAATATCATTTTAAAAAATATTTTTCGTTATGTTATAGACATCAGTAACATTGTCTATATCCGCTTATAATATTGTTACGGGTGAAACGTTACAGATTCACTCGGGAATAATCTAGTAGGAACGGGCTGCGTCATAATATGTATGTAGTTTTTGCTCAAGGTGAAGAAGCTAGCTAGCTGGCAATGTTGCATATCGAAGTAAATAGCGTTATCATATCGTCATATTAATAACGATATTATATTGTTATATCCTCGTAAGGCCCAGCATGAAAATTAACCACTTCTCATTTCAGCCCACGGTCCCCTTTATGGCACTTTTTTATAATAGTGGTTCAGGCCCAGCACTAAATTTGTAATTTTTTTACAGTACGATAGTTTTATAACAATATATGTTTAAGGGTGTATAATTTATGATATTTAGAAGCCCTGCACATATTTTTGGTTTTAATTGAATAAGTCCCACCTAAGGTACCATGGGTCGCAATGTAGTGTGGATTTTTTTTGTGTACCAGAATTTGCATAAGTAAAATAAGCATGTTTTTGCATATTTTTTATTTATAATGATTTTACTTAATCAAAATAAAACAATAAATGTTATTTTTAAGTCAAACGTAATGTACTTTAAAAAGTATCTTCAACTTTTGAGAGTAAACAAGAATTAGAAATCTTTCATTTTAGTTATTTAAACTTTTTTAGGGTAAAATTGAACATTAGGCAGTCAATCAACTATCAGCCTAAAACATTAATTCAAAAAAATACTGACAATCTTTAAACTCTCTTCATATCAACTTAAACTTCAATCTCTTCATCTCTTAAAAAAACAATAGGACATCTTGGCATTAATAATAATATAGTATAGAAAGTTCTTAAGCAACATCTAATAAAGGAATATCTAAACAAAAAAATTAAGGCTTACTTAAACAATAATCAAAACAAGGCACATTATAATCAGTCTTTATTAATAGTAAGTATTTATAAATGAAATGTAATTTAAGAAGTATAAAATTAAAAAAGAAATTAGGAGTGGAAATCTTTGAAACAATTTCTTTCTTTTCGCAAACATAAATAGATGTTACACTTCGTGCATTTTACGATGGTCTTCATTATATGGCAGTGTCTACATTTGCTTCGAGTATCCATCATTTGCGGCATATGTCGGGCTCCTCTGGTCCTTTTTTCAGGTGGAGGGAGTTCCACAGTTGCAGGTCTTCCTCTCTTTTTTTTTTGGTTTTTAATCTTTATCTGTTTCTGACTCTGTCTCTGTTTGAGTTTCAGATACTGACGTTTCTGTGTATTTCTCAATCAAATTTTCTCCTAATTCCAGCTTAAAGTCTACTACTAAACTAATGTAAGTGAATTTGTACATACAAAAAAATAAATACCTACTGATCATAAAAACATGCAGCTAAAATAGACCATACTACTTGAGGCCCGGAGTGGCACTAGCGGGACAATTTTTTTCGGACAGTCAGATTAACTACAAATACTGCTTTAAACATCAAATAAATAACTTAAAAAGACAAGCAATAAATGTTTTCTCAGTTTTAATCCAAAATTCTTCTGAAATACAGAGGATTACATTAATATAAATGGATTTAACTTACCTCGACCTCGCGGAGTTTCCATCGTGCCAGTTCAAAGACAATGTGTCAATAGAAAACAAAAAAATCAGCCAATGCCCGATCACTAGTTGACAGCCATAGTTTTCGTTCAGAAATTTTTAGTAGTCACTTGTCAAAGGCGCAAATTCAAAATCACTATGACGCAAAATTGAATAAGTCCCCTACACGACACCTTGGGTAGCTACGAGTATCTATATTTTTTTGGAGCTGGGCTTGAATGTCTATATTAATTAGTACCTTGGACGACCCCATGGGCCTTACGAGGATATCAATAACCATGTTGTATCGTTATATTAATAACGATGTATTTTTAATATTGTTATTAAATAGTTGTAGATTTCGTTCAGTATGTTTGTATTGTTATAGCCAAGAAATTAATTTTGTTACGATCCTAGTGGAACGGTAGGAATTATCGTTACTGGAACTACGCGTAACGTTATTTTAAGTAACGTTTCAAGTCCCTGATTAAAAGGCATGCTTAATCTAGTCATCATAATTTAGTCACTCTGCCAACTAACCTTATTTTGCATTACCTTTTATTTTTAACACAAGTTTAGCACTAACAACAAATACTTAAACAATGATTTCCAATTTGCATGTGATATTTTGAAACAGCCTCTTTTAGTTTTTTTTTATTTATAAGTATTCCAGGGCATAATAGGTATAATATGTTATTACTTATCGATTATATTTAGTAGTGTTGTACAGTAAAACCAGCATAACTACAAAATTGTGTTTATTAATGTAACCAATAATTTATGTGGCACCTATTGTATTTTGCTTTTATAATTATCTTCATAATGTTCCTAATTTACTTGTAAAATTTTTATTGCTCCTATTAATTTGATATTTTTTTCAGGCAATGTATCGTCGCATTGTCGAATCACAAAAGGGCAATAAGTCTAATGTAGATCCTGAGGTGACTCTACAGTTCTTGAAATCAGCAATCTACTATTTCTTAACGGACCCAGAGAACCATCAAGGACATCTTAATGCAATTGAAAACATTCTTGGATTTACGGAGGCTGAAAAGAAAAATATTCGCAAAGCCAGGGCATCATAACAATTGGGTGAATTGTTGTGAAAGTGTGATAAATATCTTTAGATGTAGGTATATTTTTTGCCACTTAGATAGATTAATATTAATTGGCATGTAACAGGGACATAATAGAAATCATAATAATATTAATAAGAGCACTTTATTTTAGATGATTTATAGTACATTTTATGTCTTATGTCCTTAGTAAAATAAATCTGCACATTTTTATTACTTTAGCTAAATATACCCGGCCGAAATTGTTATCAAAACGAATTTATTTACCATGTGTGATTTTCTTTAGTTTGTAAGCGCCAAAGATCATTCCTGTAACTTAAAATTGTGCAATTTTAATTTTAGTTTAAGTATTGATACCTATAAAAGCTAGCTAGCTACATATAATGTAGTATTTGACAATATTATTAAGTGTTATTTCTTTACTTGTTCCTATTTTTATCTATATTTGCTGTTTCGCATGTTTTAAGATTTATTTTAATTTATATTAGGGTAATAATAAAGAGAATGACAAGTATTATAGCATATAATATAAAATAGGCGTCCAATTTAAACATAATATTTATTATATAGGTTTCTATTTAATAACTTAAAGATTAATTTTGAATAACACAATCATCTCTCATGATAATGACAAAATGATAATTTTATATATGTAATTGTTATTCAGAGTTTTTCTTTATTAGTTATTTATGTTCTACAAAATGGAATTAATAATATGTTATATTGCCAGCTTGCCACTCGTATATCTGTGATTAGTATTTGTGATGTTGCAAATTTGAGTGATTTGTTAAACTGCACACCCACACTGAACTGAACACCATGTGAATACTCTTTTCAATTTGAAATCCAAAGAAAATGTTTACCTGTAACAATTCTATAGCACTTAACAGTTGTTAAATAAATCAATTAACATTAACTACTAAATACAACCTAGAATTATTATCAAATTTATTAGTAAAAATTGTTTTGAATGTAATTTTCTATGTATATCAAATTGATAAGATTTTAAGGTTATGTTAATGCTAAGTGTGGGAATTCCTTGTTTATTACTTGTGTTCATTTTTGATTTTGCATTCTTGCCTGCTGAAAATACTATAGAGTAGTATTTGTTCTTTAAATTTTTATTATCTAATTATATGAGAAATTGAGTACTTACCTAAGTTTGCTGTAGGTATTTTTATTTCATTACTGTTTGCTTTGCAATCAGTATACGTCATGACAATCGGTAAACCGTATTTTTGTGACCCTAGCTTGGTTTTGTTTTCATTAAACAGGGAATGAATATTATAATGTTTTATTTCATGTATCCAAAAATTTACAGGTCTTACTGATGTAATTTTTAATTATGTCCTTCAGATCCAATTCCGGTAATGGTTACAGTGCGTGCACGAGTGTGTGCGAAAGCACAGGTGAACTCTATTCCCTTACTCTTATAAGTCCGATGGTACGGCAATTCGACAGGATCGGAGAGATTAGGTGCTGAGCTTAAGGTTTTACTTGCTTTCCGAGCAGGAGGATAAAACACCACAACAAACAAAACTTCCTAACTTTGCTACGAATTTCTTGACAGAGCAAACCAACCTGACCAACCAACCAAAACGTTTGGTTCCAACCCTAAAATCGAACCTGTTTAAGACTATTAAACCGCGACTTCGTCCTCGTAGGTTTTGAAATAAATACAAATTATTTAATAATAATAAATTTCCGAGGAAGGACAAAACAACTGTCGAACTAGGTGTACAGTCACGGAGCACGCAGCTTCTTCTATTATACATACACTTGCAAAAAGTGACAGCGTAGTGCTCTTTCGGTTTACATTTCTGTAACGCGATGACAGCGTCTCCAAAATGTCCCTTTTGGTGCTAAGATGGCCAGACTACTGGCGGAGCTCACCCGAGAACATGTCAGATAAAAGTGATGAGAAATTGTTTTGGATACATAGTGTACGTCGTTATCGGTTTGAATAATAGATTAAAAATATTTGTTTTGAATTAACTAAAATACAAGAGTCTAAGTGGTCACTGTAACTTTCACAGTAGCGAATAACACGAGATCGATCCCCTCGGGCACCAAAAAATTGTCAATTGCAACTTTAAGTACTAATTTATCACGTGTTTGACAGTGAAGGAAAACTTTGTGAGAAAATATGACATAACAGAAATAAAAAAAAATTGCCGTAGCGCATTTGAGTAGCCGTCCTTGCCTGAAATCCTCTTAGTATCTAATGTGAGGAAGGCTGTGCCCAAGAGTGAGACAATATATTATAGTATAAGTATAGGCTGTAACTTTATATTGACTAAAATACAAAAGTAATAATCAAACCTTAGTCATGTTACCTATAATAATTAGCCTTATTTTTTATACGATATTTTATTATATATAATATTAAAAACTAATAAAAAAAACTAAAACTACTTAGTAACTTAACTATCATACAGTTCTACTCCCCACGGTATCGTGCCAAGAACGCTGGCTTCGTTAAACAGCTGAATGGCTATACTTAGCCTTTGAGCGAGAAAAGAACCAGCCCTCTTATCACCAGCAGCAACAACCAGTCGCAGATTTAGTTCCTTTAGGAACTAAATCCGCATGTGGACCCCACGGACCTATAGTCTCTTCAGAAAATGGCACAAATATGTAGTCATCTCTCAGAGACACATTTGCGCCACTTAGTTCAGCTACCTCTGATGCCGCCCTGGCTCTAAATGAGGTACCCCTGAGATGAGAGGCCGTCAAAGTGTCTATTTATACGTAGTAGAGCCATGCTGCAGCTATATCACTGGTATAGTTGTAGCAGGAATGGGTCGGCTCGACCGGAGAAGGAACACGCTCTCACAGAATACCAGCGTAACATAGCAGCTTAACGCTGTTGTGTTTCGTATGGTGAGTGTAGAGAACCGGATACCTCTTTTACTGGAAACGAGACATTCCATCGTAGTCCTCACGAGTGATAAGGCATCTTTCGTGATCGAGGATTCAAACTATACACTTACCATCAGGTGGACTGTGTGCTCGTTTGTCACCCTTACTTATCTTATAAAAAAACTAAAGTAGCATTATTGTTTGCAAGTTGATGCAAGGTAAGTGATTTCTAGTCTTAAGAAATAAGTCCTTAATAAACTGTTTTTTTAGACGTTACCCCACTTACACACTAGATTTTCCCTTGTATTGTGAAGGCAGTTTACATACATTAATTTCACAAGGACAAACATCCAGACCCGGAACAATTATATATACATTGATGATTGATACAGCCCTTCATAAGTCAACTTCTGAACATAGAATTCCCCCAAGGAATGCCACAAAGTACGGTCGTGAGCCACCTGCATCCATCGATTTCCTGCATGTCTTACCAGGTCGTCACTCCATCTAGTGGGGGTCGCCCTACAACTTCGCCTACCGATACGAGGCTGCCACTCGAGAACCTTTTTTTCCCATCGGTTGTCGGTTCTACGAGTTATATGATCGGTCCATTGCCATTTCAGCTTACTAATTCGTTGGGCTATGTCGGTTACTCTGATTCTACTGCGGATATCCTCATTTCTAAGTCTATCACGCAGAGAAACCCCGAGCATAGCCCTCTCCATAGCTCGCTGAGCGGCCTTGAGCTTCCTCATACTGCCAGCAGTGAAGGACCACGTCTCAGAGCCATAAGTCATCAGTGGCAACATGCACTTGTACAATCTCGTTTTCAGGTTTTAAGGTATACCGTACGAGAAGATGTGTCGTAGTTTCCCGAACGCTGTCCAGCCGAGTTGAATCCACCGATTGACCTCTCGGTCGAAGTTGGACTTACCTAGTCGGACTATTTGTCCCAGGTAAACATACTCGTCAACAACTTCGAGCTTAGTGCTCCCAACAACTACCGGCATAGGTGTGACATAGGCATTAAACATGATCTTTGTTTTGTGTTGAGATGTTCATCTTAAGACCTATCCGTTGGGAGACACTATTGAGGTCATTGAGCATAGTGCTTAGATCCACCAGTGATTCTGCCATAAGGACTATATCGTCGGAAAATCGAAGGTGAGTGATGTACTCGCCATTGATGTTAATACCGCATCCTTTCCAATCCAGTAGCTTGAAAACATCTTCCAATGCAGCGGTGAAGGGTTTCGGGGATATAACGTCACCCTGTCTTACACATCTCTGCAGTTGGATAGGTTTCGTACTCTGATTCTGTACTTGGATAGCCATCGTAGCCCTATTGTACAAACACTTCAGCACTTCGATATACCGACAGTCAATTTGGCACCGCTGAAGGGACTGCAGCACCGCCCAAATTTCGACGGAATCAAAGGCTTTCTCATAGTCCACATATGCAAGGCAAAGTGGCGGATTATACTCTTCTGTCTTCTGTACAATTTGCCAAAGGGTGTGTATGTGGTCTGTGATAGCTATGAGCATTATAACGTATAGACAGTTATGGAAACGTCTATTTACTTTATAACGTATAGGTAGTTATACATAACGCTCATAACTGTCTATTTCTTATAACGATCCGCAACGCCTAGAGTATCTTTGAACCGCAACGCTGCAACGTGATAGTTATACATAACGCTCATAACAGTCTATTTGTTATAACGATCCGCAACGCTGTAACGTGATAGTTATACATAACGCTCATAACTGTCTATTTCTTATAACGATCCGCAACGCATAGAGTACCTTTGAACCGCAACGCTGCAACGTGATAGTTATACATAACGCTCATAAGTCTATTTCTTATAACGATCCGCAACGCATAGAGTACCTTTGAACCGCAACGCTGTAACGTGATAGTTATACATAACGCTCATAACTGTCTATTTCTTATAACGATCCGCAACGCATAGAGTACCTTTGAACCGCAAAGCTGCAACGTGATAGTTATACATAACGCTCATGACTGTCTATTTCTTATAACGAAGCGCAACGCACTGAAATCGTGATTCGTGATATTAAAACATCATGCACTCGCTGCCGTACAAAAACAAATGTTATGCCGTGTACGATAAGAACGAAACTGC